AATATTAACCAAACAAGGCGAAAATTTTCGCCTGCAAATCAGGAACTATAAACAGAGCTGTATACTATCCGCGACTTTCTTGTGAATTCTTTCAGCAAAAAAGAAAAAAAAAATACAGTAGTCGTGCGCTTACTTCTGTATCTATTAGCTGTCTTGGGGAAGTCTGTGATGACACCATCATATCTGCTCCACGAACAAATGAGTTGATCTCAACGGTTGCATCTGAGAAGAAATCCCATGCTTGAGAAGTAAACTCATTGCTGAAGCTTTCTACATAAACAGAGAGGTTGAAGGATTTTAGCTTGACACGATCCTCGTAGAGCCAATCAGGAATTTTTGAATTGAGAGGAAATACAGATGTCTTCTGGACAACCACAGAATCGGCAACGTTCTTTATATCCTCAACAGCTGAATCAACAGCATTACCAACGTCTTCGTCAATTTTGTACATAAGCTCATATTGTGTTTTCTCTTTAAATTCTTTAGCACAGAGCTATTAGTGGACTGAATCATAACCTTATGGCCCCCTGACTTTTCATAACCTGATTTGCTCAAGGTATCAATGACTGCATCAGTCACGCTTAATCCTTGCTTCTCCGCAAGATAGGCGGCATTCTGGCAACAGTAGAACACATGATTGTGGAGAATAAATTGAACATCAACGAAAACAATTATTCAACATCTCTTGTTTTAGAATATCAGAACATGTAGAACATATTCACCATGATAATATATGTAGCCGTTTGTGTACTCACACAAAAACAAAAAAGGGATAAGTTACGGAAGGACTTTACAATGAACGTAGTGTATAAAGTTTGTCATATTCACCTTAATCTTAAAGAAGAGTAAGCCTAATGCATGTAAGCTGGAAGTCCCTTGGGCATAACTGATAATTCAAGATTTGGTCATATGCTTAGACTCCGTAGTCTAGACATCAAAACAAGGGCTTCTAGCAGAATAAGACCAATTTGGGAAATTTCAAATTTCACAATCAGCATTTAGCAAAGGTTCCTATTAGGAGGATGGTGTTCATCAAGGATATTCATAAATAATAATTGCATGCATTGATGGTAAAAATAATAATAATCGTGCGTGTACATTCATATCATCATTTCATATACAACTCATATGAAATGAACTTTGAGCAAGAACTCACCTCAATAATAATCATGATACCGGATAGAGACGTCTGATTCTTTGTAATGGACAAGAAATCTGATAATGTTACAAGATTCCCAGCATTCTTGTTATTTGGATTCCGCAACATTCCGTATTTTACATAGGGATTCAATATTGAGGCTGCAGGGAAACAGTAGATAGGAAAACACAGATGTCATGCTTGATTAGAATAATTTTTAGTTTTTCTTTTCCTTTATTAAACATCAAGGTCAAAACTCCAAAAATTTTGCGAATAAAGGGGAAAAAAATGAATGCGTTCAAATGAATGCGTTTATAATCAGAAGGATTAATTCAGTAGCATTTAAGACTTTGGGATGACCTTAATCAGGAATGCAAGTGGTGTGAAGTAGCAATCTCACTTTTCTCGTGTTATGCACTATTTGATTTGTTCTATGGAGTGTGCGTTTATATTTATATTTATATTTATATTATATCACGCTACTTGACCTTCGGATTACTTGAATGCAAATGTTTAACTCCTTAACAGGTCTTGTGGCACGAAGGAGATGTGTTTAAAATAGGCTAAACCACATGCCTGACTTTTGTCCCTTATAATAAACGAGGCCGAGCCAAACGCCCAACATACGGCCAAATTTAAGATGATGATGGGCGAAGGATCGCGTACGTTCGCACGAGCCAATCAAGTAAGGCGGATTATAATTTATACTAGAACGAATTAGAGGAATATGCCGCTGCCAGACTTGATATGACTTACGTTTCAGGGTTTTTATATTATTCCATGACAAGTTGAATGCAAATATGCCACTGCCAGACTTGATCTCTGGGATAGTTGTCGTCATATTTCTGAAATTCGATTGAGCGGCTGTTGTACTTTCCATAAGATCGATAGAGCTCAAGCAAAATGGTATTCCATCCTTTGACATTTGAACAGGACAGTCAAGAACATCCGCACCATCCGTTATGGCCATTTTATATGCCAAGTCCGTACACGCAGGATAGTCTCCGCTTGCTCCATATTTAGAGATGACCAAGTGTTAACTGAAACATGAAAAAAAGTGTGAGAAATAGATCAATAATATGAAAAAGCTATTCTCCATGGGATTTATAAAATAAAAGAATCTGAGAAATATTAATGAATAAGAGATGAATATAGATCCACGATTTTAACGAAGCAGTGATACATATATACCTCTTTCTGTGGCATTTTCGCCTAGGTCATATATACCTCTTTCTGTGGCATTTTCGCCTAGGTCAGCAAAGCATCTGCAGAATAAGAAAATACTTCAATAACTCCAGGAAATACTGATTCAGATACTTAAGAATGAAACGAAAGAGAAAGAGTATGAATGCAAATACATCTAAGGCTAGAATAGTTAAGGTTGGGGAACACGATGAGCGTAGGCCATATCCAGAGGACATAAAAATACTAGCAGTATTGAATATTGATGCGTGCTGATGGAATAAAAGACATCACATACCAATGGCTTCAGATGTGGTTATAGGGAAGTCAGACAGCATGCCATCGACAGAAAAGTCACCGTTATCGATGAATTGGAGGTATTCAGCAAGAGGATCATAACTGTAATTGAAGCTTAGTGGAACGTCGCTCACAAAATCTGAAGCAAAGACTTCCAATCCCTCTTTTTGAGCATCCAAGACCAAAGAGTTATGTGACTTCAGATAATTTCTTGCGTCTACTGGCCATATGTACTCTTTGGGAACAATAATACCAGAAGCAAATGACTTTATAAACGTAATATTTTTCAAGAGTGAACCATAAGTCTGATTGGTTGACGGTTCTGTGTCTTCCTGTCTCAGAAACCTGAAAACCAGTTTTGTTGTTCTGCGGTTGAATTGTGTTGCTATACTTCTCAGGAACTTAACCTCCGTCGATGAGATATAAGTGATAACTACTCTTCTAGAAACAGAGAGTATGAAGCTTCTCATGCTCAATTTGTGTTGTGTGAAGAATGCATCATGCTGCGAAACATAAGAAAAGAATGGGTTGGTTTCCGAAGAAACTAGGATACCAAATTATTGAAGTGAAATATGTCTCCTTTTCACCTGAATATTCAACCACAAGGCTGGTGGGCTGACTTGTTTAACCATGTCTTCAACAGTAAGAATTGGAAACCCATTGCCATCAAACCTTGGAGTACGAGACAGGACTCCTTGAACAACTGTTAAGAAACAAGAAATTGTCAGAAAATACAGAAGTATTGAACAGTTCATAATCAAGCCTAGACAACAAGAAGTTCATTCGTCATAGGAGCCTAATCACTAGTTTAAAAAAAAAAAAAAAACAAACCTGATATCTTAAGGTTTAGTGTCAAACCCCCCCCCAAAAAAATCAATAAGGAAGGTACAGTAAATGTCACTGATGATTGAGGGTCAAATTAATGCCTGATGGCTAAATGGTCTAAAGGCCACTAGATCTTCTAAACTAGATACATTAAAAAATACATGCATTTGATACTGGCATCAAGTAACAATTAAAGTAGTAGGAAAGAAATATGTGAACTTACGCACGACTTTGGACAGATCCTTCAGAGGGTAATCCACCGAAAAATACCCACGGGTTGGTATACCATTGACTGCATAATTTGTAGCTTTATTTGGGAAAACCTGAGCAATGTTTGTAGCATTGTCCAGCTTGATGTCTGGAAGACAAATCCCAGCTCCATCTTTTGTTAATTGGACATCACACCACAGAACGACATTTCGTTTACTGGTTGCCAATGCAAACTTATAGGCAACCACGCTAGAATCAGGAAATAGACCTGAAAAACCCCCACGTGCTATGACTACTGGTGGACTTCCTGCATAACAAGAGAATGAGTAAGTTTCACTAAAAAGGAAGAAGGGCCACAGTAAAGAGAACATCAGGTCCTGCAAGACAAGCATTCGTGAAACTCTGTTCTTAAAGGCAATTTAAAATATCAACGGACCTAGATCTTAGTATATCCGGAATAGAATTCAGTTGCTAATAGACCTTTATCCCCACTGGTCATTATTTGAGCAATAATTTTTATGTTCAACCCAAGAAACATCGGATGCTTTCTAATTACGGAATAATTTGCTCGCAGTCGCAGCAAATATTAGACATAGGAAACTTCGTTTAATTAATAGCGGAGAAATCAAACCCAACAGTACTTAAGCAGAAGCTCAGATTCATCAATTTCCCTGGAGTTTAGACACACATGCAAGAAATGCACAAATTTCTGTTCAGTAGCAGATTCTGGTGAATTTTTCCACCAGACACATTGATGAAACCAACCTCTCAAAGCACCAAGAACAAAAGGCCACAATGGAGTAAGTTCAATTTATACTCTCATTTTCTAATCAGTGGATATCGATGGAATAGTAAAGACAAACATCCGAGTGTCCATCGTAATTTTCGTACATCTTCTCGGTAGCATTGCGGACACTTCCTCTTCATCGTAAACGAGGGGGAAAAAACGAAGAGAAAATCGAAGTAAAACGAGAAACATACCGCTGAGTGTCTTCCAAGTGGTTCTGTTTGATCGTCGAGCAGAGACTAAAGGCACCGAGTGAAGCAGCAGCAGAATGAACAGACGAGAGATTGCGCGCAAGCTCCACATTCCGACGAAATTTGAAGCGCGTGACGAACTTTCAGCTTCTTCCTGTAATACACTCCGGCGGGTTTCTCCGGGAAATGCGTCAGAGAGGCACTGTGAAGTGTGAACTGAAATGTGGAGGAGTGAAGCTGAAGCTTGTTGGCCCGAAACTTTCACTCCATGCTAGCCTTCCGCCAACTTTTCACGCGTTTATATTTTTTTTTTTCCCGGTATAATAACTCTTTTTGGTTTTTGCTATAATAATTTGCTGAAGAAAAATAAAAATGGGATAAGATACAGGAGGAAATTCAAATCCCCTTATCTAGCCAAATATATATAATGCTAATGGCTAAATTATATAAAATTTCACTGAATTTAGAATCATATACAAATACATTTTTCAATCTTTAAAACCTAGAAAAATACTTGTTTTAAGTTCCTTATATCTAAAATGTCAAATTTCCCACTCACATATAATCATGTTTTTTATTCTTAAAATATTATCAAAAACTATACACCCACATGAAAAGATTAGGCAATACTGTAATATTCTAAACTTTATTTTAGGATTTAGAAAAAAAAATTAAAAATATATATAAATAAAATAATAAAAAAACTTTAAAAAAATATTAATGGGAATGCGTGAGAGAAAGAGAGGAAGAGAGAAAGAGAGCGAGAGAGAAATAGAAAGAGCATAGTAGCATAGCAGTAGTCCTCGTGAAGGAGAAGGCAAAGTGTTGAAGATAATTTAAGTACATAAAATTACTTCTTTTCATCAAACTTTTTTTATGAATATTTCCTGTGTATTTTGAGCTTCCTATTTACATTATTACTATATTAATTGGAGAAAATTTTGAGACTTATATATGATCTAAGTATTGAGTTTTGACAAAAGATTACTATAGAAATTTAGAAGTAAATGAGTTGTTAATTTTAAGTGGTTTAGATTTCTCTAGGGAAAATCTCAAAAAAGTGACTACTGAATTTCAAAATGCCAAATCAAGAATTACTATAAAAATGGGTTGTCATTTGCTTTTTAAATGTAGTCATTTTTTTTATGAGTGTAGTAACGAATACTGATTTGAAATTTTGAAATTCAGCTATCACTTTTTTGGGATTTTCCAATTTCTCTATTTGTTAGTTTTAGTATTTAAATTAATTTATTTAGTTGAAAATATGTTATTTATGGGATATGCCATATTTTTACCTATTAAATTTAAGTTAAATAATTTATTTGGATTGTTTGATATATTATTGAAATTTTAATCAATTTAGTTTTATTTATTGGGTGACTGGAGGTTTTAAAATAATTATTGTAGCTAAAAAGTTTATTATTTATGGAAATGTGTGTATATATATAGTGGTTATTTGATTAGATTATTTATTTATAAATATTTGAAGTATTATTGAATTTTTAATAGTTTGATTTTGAGGTTTAAACTTAAAATGAGATTTTTAGGATTTAGAACATAATAATTTTATATTTGGAAATTGTGGAAAATATTTTTTTATTAAGCTAAATAATTTGGAGGTGGTAAATAAATAATTTGGCTTGTTGAAAATTTTAAGTTATTCCTAAAATACTTAATAATTTTTACGTTATGAGAGTTGCAGGAATTTAGAATAAAGATTAAATTAAATTAGAAATTCAACTAATAAAGAGAAGTTTAATTAATTAGTTTATATTAATATCTGGTTTATATTAATTGTGTAGATTAATTATTGGTTGAGTAAAGGATTAACCTTGTAGTAATCCCTAGTATTGCTTTGGCGAGAGGTAACCACTTTCCACTTGTTATATGTGCTAATATGTTGTTTGTGAGTATTTTGTTATTTGAGAATAATGATGTGTTATTTGAAACTCGAGTAGATATATTATATTTTTTGAGTTATGAAAAATTGTCCTATGGGATTTTTAGAATTGTGATTGAGAAGTTCGGAAAAGATATATGATTTATATCTTATGGATTATACTGAAAAAGATTGAGACATTTTTGTTATATTGTGAATGGTTGGTTGTTATTTAGATTTTGGATTGAGCTCTATCTTACCACGTGGTAAGGCCATTATTGGTGCACATTAGATAGCTTCCTTCGTCCCTAAAATAAGGGATAGACCTTTGTGGCTTTTTATTCATCCCTCAAAGTGTGGGATAAGCCTATAATAAGATATGGACATTTGTCACTACTTATTCGTCCCCCAAAGAGTGGGATAGACCTATATGTCAGATTGATCCCCTATAGTGAGGGATAGACTTATGTGGCTTGTGTGTTAGCCCCCTAATGAGGGTTTGGATGATTGAGATTATTTGAATATATATTTATATTTTCATTGATATATATGTTGAGATTTAATAATTATTCCACTTGACACCTCACGAGCACATGTTAGTATGTATGAGGAGTTAGGAAGTTGGTTATTGAGGCATTTGTCTCAACCCAATGGTTTTTACTATCTTCAGGTGATAGTTCAGGTGGTGGCCCATCAGGGAAGGCTCTGGAGACATAGTGTGCTGTTATAGCTTGTATAACCTTCCTGCTTTTGTTTTATGTGCTGACTTCTTATATATTGTCACATAGGGCCCATATACTCTAATGTTGTAAACTAATACTTTTAATTAATACTATCTGATATGGGCACTCATTGGAAGGCCGGATATATTTAAAACTCTGCGTATTACGCTCTTTTGACGGTGTTGACTTTTGACTAATGGACTCTATGACTTCTATTAAAATAATCTATCAGTTCATATGTTTGAAAGTACAAGTTTGGTTTAGGCTAATGGTTAAATGATATTTCTGGATTTTGAAAGTCCAAGGCCCAAGTTAATGATCGATATTGCTCGTAATATAAATTTATTTATTTTAACTATAATAGCGATTTTAAAATTTTAAGGTTTTCTCTTTTCTATCATGGTTAATCATTTGAATAAATTGAAAATTTTGATCTAAATGGATTTTAAAAGAATATTTGTCACAAATACAGCCACATATGACCAGAGAATTTGGCATAATAAATATAAAGAACTTGACTTAAATATTGTCCTAAAACTTAATAATAAATCCTCCAAAATTTTCAAGTCTATACATATAACCCTAACTTATCATTTTAATGCTCCTTAAACTTTATTTTTTGCATGTATATAATCTCTTCAAACTTTGACTTATACGCAGACAAATTTCTTGAACTTTAAGGCATTTGAAAATAAATAATTAAAAACCTAATACTATGGGAGTTATTTGTTAAATTTAAAAATTTAGAGAGTTTTATCATAAAGTTTCAAAAGTTAGAGAATTTATTTAGGGAAAATGATAACAAAATACCACCTGAATTCCAAAAAGACAAATAAGGGACCTAAATAAGCAAAATGACAAATAGGGCACTGGGTATCAATTTGGAATATAGATTTTCGGCCAAAAGACCGAATTGCCTTGATTGTCTCTGAACATTGAGCAGTGTATTCATGCGATAGAGAAAGGGAGAAACTGATTTCCTTCTACGAAACTAAATCCAAGTTCCTGCAGTCACCAAAAAGGATTTTTTGAAATCACGTTGCCGTCGTCGTAGGAGTAGATTGCCATCGCTGAATTTGGTTACCATCGCTGAAATACATTGCCCTGTCTGAAATAACTTGTACCCCCTGAAATTGTCGTCGTCGAAGAGGTCGCTGAAGTATTTGAATTATTCATGAGTGAGTAGAAGTTGATGGCGGGATTTGGATTATTCATTTTTGTGGCTGTTTCATGGTGAAATAGGAATAAGATTATTGCATTTGAGGGTTCATATTCAGTATTTGGTGAATGATGAAGCATAAATCAGAAAATAGTCGCAAGCAATTACGTAATGTAATTGCTATCATATGTTTGCTGGTTTTTGGTAAATCCCATTCTGTGAATGGTAAATTTTAATATACATGTAGTTAATTATGAAACTTAATAGTTCAATGTTTATTGTGATGTACTTCAGGTGCACGTTCACTGAATGATTTATTTATGCTTACAAGTTGCTCTTCCAGTGAAAACAGGTTTACAAAACCCATTGAAGAAGTGGTCACTTTCACTATAAAAGTTGTAAATCCCATTATGTGTTTTGTAAAATTCAGCGTGAAATTTTATTGGTGGTGAAAAGTAAGTTACTCATCCCCCGAAAATATGTTGCAAAATCTATTAACAAAGCGGTCACTTTTATCACAAAAGTTGTAAATCCCAGCATATGTTTTATAAAATTCAACGTGAAATTTTATTGGTTTTTAGAAACAAGTTACCTATCCCCTGAAAACAGGTTACAAAAGCCATTTAAGAAGTGGTCATTTTCACTATAAAAGTTGTAAATCTCACTGTGTGTTTTGTAAAATTCAGTGTGAAATTTTATTGGTTTTTAGAAACAAGTTGCTCATCCCCTGAAAAGAGGTTGCAAAACCCATTTAAGAAGTGATCATTTTCACTAAGAAAGTTGTAAATCTCACTACATGTTTTGTAAAATTCAGCATATAATTTTATTGGTTTTTATAAACAAGTTGCCAATCCCTTGAAAACATGTTGCAAAACCCATTGAAGAAGTGATCATTTTCATTATGAAAGTTGTAAATCTCACTATGTGCTTTGTCAAATTCAGCGTGAAATTTTATTGATTTTTAGAAACAAGTTGCTCATCCCCTGAAAAGAAATTGCAAAATTCATTTAAGAAGTGGTAATTTTCACTACAAAAGTTGTAAATATTACTCTATGTTTTGTAAAATTCAGCATAGAATTTTATTGGTTTTTAGAAACAAGTTGCCAATCCCTTGAAAACATGTTACAAAACCCATTGAAGAAGTGATCATTTTCACTACGAAAGTTGTAAATCTCACTATGTGTTTTGTCAAATTTAGTATGAAATTTTATTAGTTTTTAGAAACAAGCTGCCCATCTCCTGAAAACAAGTTACAAAACCCATTGAATAAGTGGTCATTTTTACTACGGAAGTTGTAAATCCCACTATACGTTTTGTCAAATTTAGCGTGAAATTTTATTAGTTTTTACAAAC